GGAATGCCAAACCACTCCATTTGCATAGTGAGAGACTGTGAATCTATAGGGTAACACAGATGGTGCCAAGCCCTGTGGCAAAGCCTGAGCTACCTTCTGTGTTTGCAGAGAAGTAGTAGTCAATATATATTGGCTGGAATTTTTTCAGAACTTGAAAAGCATGTCTACAGAATTCCAAAAGTTATTATGCATTGACATACCTTAGCTAAGTTAGGAAGAGAACAAAAATAGAATTTATTTAGAACATAAAAAAAAAAAGTAACATTATCCATAGTCAACAAAAAAAGTCTTCTGTGACAGCCAGAAGAATCAGAGGAATCGTGAATTGCTATATTAAGATTTTGGTTTTTAGGATGAAGAAAATTTTAGACGTCACTCAAGTAAGCCCCTAGGAAGGATAAAACACTTCCAAACATCTTTGCACCAAAAAAATTCTCAGAATACTAGCATGCTGTGGTAAACATCTAGTTTCAGTCCCAGCATTGTAGAAGAATCAAAACCAGAAAACAACTCAGCTCTGTCTTGGATCCTCCAGTCTGGAGGATTCAAATATAATGCAGTTCTTCAAGTTAAATGTGAAAATCACTTAAAATAACCAAGTCAGTCACATTCATCTGCACCAGTTTGCTCTTACTAGATTATCCAGTTGCAGAACCCACACTCACTCACTTTCTTATAATTTTTCTTTTGATAAAACAGAATGTTAAAGCATTAAAATTAAAATCTCAGGCAATTATGTTACCACCTTGTAACAAGAGGTAAAGCGTTAGGAAGGCTACACAAATTTAAAACAACTCTCAAATGTGGAACCAATGCATTTAAGATTACTATGGGTCAAATTATTATATGTACCGAATATCATTCAGGAAGACATGCCTTCATATTAGTCTAACATACAAAATCTGAAACATTAGTGATTCACATTCTAGCTGTTGTCTAGGATAATATGGAATGTCACTGAAACAACAGCATTGTTAGAAAATGCTTTCCAAGATCATGCTGAGGCTTACAATATTTCAAAAAAAAGAGGGCATTTAGACTTTAACAAAGAAGAAAATAAACAACAGCATCACATACCGTAAGTTTGAGGGGACCATACTTTTTTTCCTGAGCAGCCAAAGCATTTTTAAAAGGAGTTGGTGTCCTTGGAGTTGAACCCAAAAGAGATCTTCTAATTGTCGGAGTTCTAAAACTATTCAAGCAGAAAGAAGTGTTCATACATGCATTTTTGTATTTTATTTTATCAACAGTAATGTAATAAAATGAATCTTAGAAACATTTTAAAATACCTTCATTTACACAACAGATATCACCACCATGAATCTGAAAGTCTTAAGATCACCATAGCATTATATGCAAATATCACCCAGGTATATTAAACTTAAATTGGATTTTGTTCAGTATTTTAAAAAAGGAAAAATTTTAACTGAGTACAAGTCACCTTCTGTTAAGTTAAAAACAGGAAGCCAGTTTGTTTGTACACAAGTATTTAAATGTTAGGTGTTTTAAAACACATTCACAGTATGCATACAAGTAGACTATAATTTCTCAGTGTTTAGAAAAACTTGGTTTTATTTGAGAAACACCACCAGATTTTTAATGTAATAATCCTACCCCACATTTTCCTTTTGATCTTTTGGTGTCATTTCCTTGTGCAGAGGAGTTGTAATAAGAACTTTCTGCCCACAGATTGGAGTCGATGTAAATGCAGGATTTTCAAGGTTAAATTGTTCACTTCCAGAGCAAGTGTTGAAAAACTAAGCACAAGAGAGAAAAGAAACTAAGCAACTGTAAAGGACAAAACTTCACCACTGTACTGAGCAGTAAAAAAAGAAATTATATGTATGTATCTGAAGGCTTTTACTGACAGAGTATTGGACATACTTGTTTAGGCTAAAATGTATGACTAGGGAAAAGAAAGTACTTGTACTTTATAAACTACCCACTGCAGTCTTCATGTTTAGCCATACTTAAATATAAACTCACCTGTGATGGAGAAAATGGTAGTGTTTTCACTGGTGTATGCTTCAGTGCAACATTGATGGCATCATTACACAAGCCATCATTCAGTTCGTTAACTGGTGATTGCCCAACGCGCAATCTCTTTTTCTTTCTTAGGATAGTAGGTGGAGTGCTGAATTTAGTTAAGTTTGGGGTTGTTGGGAAAACTGCTTCTTCCTCTCCACTCATGCTACTGTGTTTTTTGCCATCAAGCACGAGGCTGACATCATACTGGCACTCAGCAGCCCCTTCATTGTGTTGAATCCGCATTAATTTTACTGGAGCTGGCTTGACAGGAGATGCAACAGCCTCTGAAAGCTCAAAACTGGTGACATCACTCCATGCTACAGGATCCTATGAGGCAAGATGCAAAACACTCAAACACTAGCAGGCTTATCCAAGATTATTTCACAATATCCAAGCCATTCTAACAGCTCTGTACCTCCAGAAGCCATATATTGAATTATTCTCCCTGTATCTTTCACACAGTCCTAAAAACACTGAATATTCTAAAACAGAATTATTTTAAAACTAGCAATAAAACATGTCACTCAATATTGGTGAAACTACAGACAAGTACAGAATAAGGTAATTTTAAGAGTATTTTACACATATTATGTAAGTTGATGTTCCTAAATAAACATTTTTTTAGAATAAGTACAGACTTACAGATTCAATAAGCTCTAGTGTCTCTGCAAACTCTGGAATGGTTTGTAGAGATGATAACATTGTATTTGCTTCCACCGCCAAATACTTAGGTGGTGAACTCTGTTGAACAGATGTGCCGTGGGTCTCATCTGTGCTGTAGAACTCACTTGTTTGTTCCCCAAGGCTATTTAGTGTATTAGACACACAATCTTCTGTGACAAAACTTCCAGGCCAACAAGGTAAGTTTCCAGCTTGCTAAAAAGCATGAAGAAACATGTTAATCTTACTCAACGAAGAAGTTGAAGAGAGTCAATTGTGAGACCACAGGGAAGAAAAAAATAATAGTATGCTGTTTGCATTAATGCAGTTAGTCTTGTCCTTACATTAACACACTCAACATTCTCAAATCGTGTAAGATTTTTATCTTGCCTCTCATTCATATCTTAAACATGCTTATAACTTAATTATGGGTTGTATTGGAAGACATCTCTGATGCAAGTTTCCTGTGTTCCTGAACATCAGTATATTAGGAAGTCATCTTCACTACAGAACACAGGTACATTTTAAGATTAGAAACTGTTTCTAGAATGTGAAATACTTCTTGTTTGATCTGATTTTTTTTAACGCAGATTCTGCACTGATAGTTTACTTAACTTCTAAATGGTTATCCCATTTTGCTACACTGCTTAGTACTTAAGAAACAGATTTTAATTTTCACTGGAAATCTAGAAGCAAAACAGATTCCACTAGATAAGCAGAACATTGCACTGTTTCAAGAAAATGCCAGGAATAGCTCCACCACAAAAAAACTGGAAGTTCACCTGTAATCTAAATTAGTGATCAATCTTATTGGGTTGGTTAGGTTTCTGATGTTATTCACAGCCCTCTGTTCCTGAGGAAATAAGTGACTTGTCGTCTGCAAGTTTTCTTCGTTCCACTGAAGTACATGAAAATTTTGTACAGTGCAAATTTATATAGTGTTTGTCATGTCCAAATATGGATATTAAGTACTGCAAGCACTCACACAGAAGTCTGATAAAAATAGAATCTACAAGATGTTTTGAAATCAAATAGGGCAAAACCTATGTATTTTTCACCCTTCTCTCTTGAACAGATGATCGACATTGCCTATCTATAAAATGGAATGGCGTCATTTGGCGAACAAATGTGCTACCTCTTGAAAAAGATTAAAATCCTGGTTCTTAGGAACAAATGCCAAATTTCAGGTCATATTTCTACTGTTTTCATAGTTTAGAAAACTGCATTAAAAATAATTTGTCTCAATTCTAATATATAGAGTTTGTTTTATAACCCAGTAGCCATAGATTTCATTTTAGAAGGTCGGGTGAAAAAACAAACACAAACATCCATCACTAAATTGCTGAGGATTAGTCTCAGTAAAGCATATTCCAATATTTACAGAAATGTACAGTCCTTACAGAAGATACTCGTTTTCTTCGGATTTCATTCTCTGCTGACATAAGTAGCAATTCAAGTTCCTTTATTTTCTTTTCTTTATCAGGATCATCATCAATAAATGACTGCTGAAAAATTGAAGAAAGAAGCCATTACTATTTTCCACCTCCAACACCCCTCCGTAGTAAAGATTCTACATTATAACACAGCTACATTTTTAACAGAAATCCACACATAGCGGGAACAGAGCTGTTCAAGCTGTATCATATTTTGTAATACAGTAGTCACTCGCAAGTAAAACAATACCAGCAATTGCCATGACATGGATCCGATGTTCAAGTGGTATACAAGCTAATATTTTAACAGGTTTCTATTATGTCTTGTAAATGCTCAGTACCCTATAGCACCTTTTAACCAAAAATCACTCAGTTCTACCTCTAATAAGAATCACAGAATCATTAAGGTTCTAAGAGAACTTTAAGATCATCAAGTCCAACCATCAACCCAACACCACCATGCCCACTGAACCACATCCTGGTGCCACATCCACACGTTTTTTGGAGGAGGAACAACATTTGCACCTTGGTAGATGTGTTCGTGTTTTCATGTGCTTTCTAGAATTTTGAGTTATTTATCCTCACTAAGTGTGCAAGAAGGTGTTGCAAATCAGCATTTGCTGACAGAGTGTCTACACAAGCAATCCTACGACTATTATCAGAAAAGAAAATTAACTAATTGTTTTTGGTTGGTTGGTTGGTTTTTAACCTCCTTAAAACATTCTATTATTGCTTTAAATATAGGTAAGTGGGGATATGTGACGTAAGTTTCAAAACTAGTTATACTCTCCAGTTTAGGGAGGACTTGAAGGAGCAAAAATTATCTTATACTTTTCTGTATAGGGTAATCCAGAGTGTCAAAGGCCATATGAGGCTTTGTTATGATTTGCATTCTTATACTGAAATCAGGGAAGAAAATGCAACATGGAAGAGATGACCTGCACAGGGAAGCTTAAGGTTAGGTACAGAGTTCTGCAGAAAGCCTCTAACATATCTAGCACAAACAAAATATGTATTATTCCCTGTGGCAAAATAATTTTTTTACTAACTTCAAATTCACAAAATTCTTCCAGGAAGTCATATTACAAACTAAGATCTACATTCAGTTTGCAACACATGAGGAATTTCAAATATATTCTAAGCCCAAAGGAGCAAAAGGAAATAAATATATCCAATTATGGTTTTTTGTTTTAAAGTTTCTAAATACTTCAGCATTCAAAATGTTGCAACTGATTGACAGAAGCTTATCAGTCAGACAAAAACTAAAACCTATTGAGAACAAAAAAGCACAGCCATAAGTGTAAGTCACAGTAAGTTATTTGAACTCAGTCTTTCAGATAGGGTTATATTTACATATAGAAGTAGTAAAATCCTGTCTTTAAATCTCTCAGAAGCAGGGTAATACTAACAGGTCATAACTTTAACCTAAAGATTTAGGTAACAAACTATGTTTTAAGCCATACTTCTGTCAGAAATAAGCACAACCATTGTGTTTCTGGGATGTATAGAGACAGTACCATTTTTCCTACCTAGAACTACCAATTAAGCTAGCAAGCCTACCTACAGAGGAACACTTACATAAATTTAGGTGAATGATAAAGACTTAAAGACATTTTGAAGTTGCATGGTTTTAAACTCTTCATTTTACAGTGCAACACATAGTACATTCTCTTCATTTACAATGCCTGTAATTTTTTTGCTGTATTTTTTTTTACCTGAACTAAGTTGGAAGAAGCTGAAGCATGTTCTAGACAGTTGCCTTCTGGTGAGGCATACTGGTATGCTGGAATCTAAAAAGACATAAATCATTTTACAAACCCTAAAGAAAAGGAGGCTATAAAATTATCTCTGGTTTATTGTACATAAACTATTTATTATGGTTTACAAATCCTAAGCTACCATAATATCACAGAAATACTCAATAGACCTTAATTCTTTCAGACTTGTTTCTTGTTCCAAACCCAATAAATTATTTGAAACTGGGAAATAATAATTATTCTAGATTTTGAACTTACATGTGTCTGAACAGGTATGTAAAATTGATTCTGAGTGTGCAAGTGTTCCATAGTCAGACAAGGTTGGGGCTGAAGTTTGGATGAACTAGCTCTTTCAGACTTTATACCATCTTGCAAATATCCTTCCTGTTCCACCTTTCTTCGCATTGTTGAATTCCAGTGATTTTTAATTGAATTATCAGTCCTAAAATGAAAAGTGTACAACAGTGACTCGTTTCCATATCTCCAAGTTTAATATATGGCATAATTTACAGGGTGTGTACAGCAGGTTAATCCAAAGCCACAAATCCAGAAAGCTCCAGCAGCTTGGACTGGAAGTTCTGTTATCAGTGGGGTTTTGGCATAATGACAGGAAAGCTACTGTTTTCAAAACTTCCTTCTACTAAACTTCAAGTCTGCAGGAAATTAAAAGTAGCAAAAGAGAAAGCCTTGGTTCTGGCTATTATCATGGGTGAGAACCTCTTTTCTTTGATACTTAGAACAACCCTGTGTTCTCTGTCACTATGTTATTTATTCTCTGCTACATATTAGCAGAACATAAAGCTAAGGTAATCACCCTACTGTCCCACAGTATAAGGGCACTGTTGTTCTTTACAAATCTTCTAGGTCTAGGATCCAATCTTTAGCTAAGAGTCTTATCTTGGATTTATTTTCCACAATTAAGTTAGTGAATTAGGAATGCTTCTGTCCTTACAAACTCATCTTCCCTCTCTGAAATTCTATTAAGATACAACCCATTCCCTTCCCATTCCTCCAAAGGATTTCCTGTGATTCATGGATTGTGTACTTAATCAAAATGTCAAATTTTTAAACACACATCCCTAAGGACTCATTCTCTCAACATAACAAGTGCTGACATTCCCTAGGCACAGCTAGACAATCACCTCCTGAACATACAGACTGTATTCAGAGAGGGACAGCTTAATGTTGAATTTCAATTAACAATATAAGGTAAAAAATGTATTTCATTAAACTCTTTATACACAAAAATTTTGTTTTCCACAAGCATATAAGTTGGCAATCACACCTAAAACGAAGATAAGGAGAACAATGCATACAATTCATTCTTAACTTAGAGACTACATGGTAACCAGCTAGCTTTGCAATGCATGACTCCTAAGCCCAGACTTTTGAAAGTTACTAAGATTCTCTTTTTTGAGTGTACTGTTTAACAAGAAGTGTTCCACAAAAAATAAATTAAAAAAAGAATTTCTGATCTTAAACCAAAAAGAAAGTCACCCACAACTGCATATTAATGAAGGCACTTTGATATCAAGTCATAGGATGTTAAGGCATTCTTCCACTATTACTTGCAGTTACTCTTCAACTCTACTACATGCTTTTGTAAGTGAACAGGAGGATTTTTGAAGGAACCTGCAGAGTGTTAGAGGTCTTTTTATTGGTTTTATGGCTTTTAAAGAATACATAATCAAATGCAAAAGATCTTAAAAAAAAATCAGTATATATCAAGCTAAAGATGTGACATAAGTTTCAACAGATGCTCTCTGACTAACAAATTACACTGGAAAGAGTTGTGCAATGACCACTTTCCATATTTCAATATTCAACACAAATAGAGTTGAAAAGCACCTTCCAGGAAGAAGTTTCGCTATTTCAGCCCATCGGTTTCCCAAACGCTTGTGAGCTTCATAGATTATCCTGTCCTCCTCTTCTGTCCACGAAGACTTTTTAACCTCAGGATTGAGATGGTTATGCCATCTCTCTCTGCATTGCTTGCCTATTCTTCCTTTCAGATGTTTTGCAATTAGAGACCAGCGCTTTGGACCATACTTCTGAACTAATTCAATAACCTGGAACACAGATGAAAGCACATTATAATTCTAAACCCTAATTTTCCTAAGCAAAGACAGAACACTGATAAACTCACGTCTTAGAATAAGATTATAATAGTCAACTTGATAAGATACTAGGCCTAAGGAGGCAAACAGTGACTTGGGCTTTGTCCTGGTTTTGGCTGGGATAGAGTTAATTTTCTTCACAGAAACTAGTATGAGGCTATGTTTTGGATTTGGGATGAAAAAAGATGTTGATAACATACTGATGTTTTCAGTTGTTGCTAAGGAGTCAAGGACTGTCCAGCTTTTCATGCTGGCCTGCCAGCAAGAAGCCTGGGGGTATACAGGAAGCTGGGAGGGGACACAGTCAGGACAGCTGACCCAGGCTGGCCAAAGAGATATTCCATACCATGTGACATCATGCTCAGTATATAAAGCTGGGGGAAGAAGGAGGAAGGGGTGGGCGGACATTCGAAGAGTTAATGGCATCTGTCTTCCCAACTAACCATTACACATGATGGAGCCCTGCTTTCCTAGAGAGTGAACACCTGCCTGCCAACGGCAAGTGGTGAATGAATTCCCCGTTTTGCTCGGCTTGCATGGGAGGCTTTCTCTTTACCTATTAACTGTCTTTATCTCAAAGCATGAGTTTTCTCACTTTTACTCTTCTGATTCTCTCCCCTGTCCCACCATGGGGGAGTGAGCGAGCGGCTGCTGTGGTGCTTAGTTGCTGGGGTGCTTAGTTGCTGGGGTTAAACCACAACAGTCACTTTTCACACCCAGTGTGGGGCTCAGAGGGTTTGAGATAACAACAGATTTGATTGGAGTGTCCTAGATCAAATTTATAGCTGTTATTGCTGTTTAGCTATTAATTGGCAGGCTCCTGTGCTTCCCATGGGTTTGCTTGCTTTGCTGTATATCAGAGTCTAGCGCTCATTAGTGGCTGCTTTTTGCTTTTGCTGCCTGCCGTACTGCTTATCATCTTACTTTGCCAAGCCTGGGAACATTTTGATAACAGCAAGGACGATGCGCCTGGGCTGGCGGATGGCCAGGGCATCGCTACTGTTTCTGTGCTGCTGTACTGCACAGGCTGGAACTCCAGTGTGAACTCAAGTCAAAGGGACTGTGACCTGTGGATTGGTCCATGGGGGAGCAGGACACTTGAAGCATCTGGCTGTGGATAAACCCATGCCAGAGCAGGTACATCTCAAAGCATCTGTGGCTGTGGTTATGTCTGTGCCACAGCAGGGTCTGGGACTAAATTATGACAGGGTTTTAAAAATTGTTTTTCAAGAAATCAAAAAATTGCTCATATTCTAAACGCAGCAAATTAGAGTTAATAAATACATACCAATGAAAAAAATTATTTGGAAGTTTCCTTTCTGTCACCCATTGCATAAACTAACATTAGGAAAGACCAAAAATGAAGCTGATAAAGATGCTTGGTTTGTCTTTTTTCAACAACATACATATGAGAAAAAACTCACACCTCTACCTCAACCTTCATCCCATTTCTACGTGTTTTTACACATTAGAAGCTTTTTCTTAAAAGACTGATGAGAACTGTAAAAAAATAGATTAGGAAGACTATATTCACAAGTTGACAAATACCAGTTTTAAACAGTGGGAATAAGCAAGTCAATTTGAAATACCGTGTGAAAGCTATATGTGCACCTCCCTACAGGGCAGTCCTGGTTTTGCAGGCAAAAAGCTGCAGTGTGGATTAACAGAGGTGGGGGAAAGGAGTCTAAATCACCATTGCTAGCTTCTTTAACAGTAGAATATGAAATAATTTCCCTTATTCCCAGACCCTTTAAGTCTGATTAGTTTGAGGAACAAAAGATGTAAATGAGACCTTTAATTTTTAGTGCTGTAAAGAAATCTCCTCTACTTGGTAAACTAGAGTAGTTCAGCTAGCAATCTGAGCAAAACGAAATGAAACACTTGAGCAGACTAGACATTCCATCTACTCAAGAGCCACTGCTTTTTTTTTTTCTTCTCACACAGCATAATGTAATATAATTATCTATGTCACAGGATGCATCAGACATCATCTTTGTGGGGATGAAACTTAAGAAAAAGTACACATTCTTAGCAGTCATATGCAAATGTTATAAGTAAAAGAGTACAGTATCAATTTGTTTTTATTACCCTCTGATCTTCTTCTTTAGTCCAAGGACCTTTAATCAATTCCGGGTTTAGTACTTTCTGCCATCGATGTTGGCACTGAAAATCTGAGCGATTCTGAAATAGTTTTAGAAGACCAGTGTAGCTGTTAAACTCTTGAATACATAAAACTGTAAATATTAGCTAGCCAGAATTATTATCTTATTTCAAATTAAAATACTTACTCAGACCTGTTCTAAGTATAATAGTTAAATTCTCCCTTATTATTTCTTCTTCATTTGCTTATAAAAACAGCCTTGCACAAAGCTCTAATCTAATTACTTTAATGTTCTTACTTGATAATCAAATTCAGAACTTACTCTTTTTCAAAGAAAAACTTAGAATTATTTTTGTCCTCATTACTCCACACCTTCTCTGAACTTTATGTGATTGACATGCTTTTGACATAATCTATAACCTATTTAAGGAAATAAATTTTTAAAGGAAATACTTACTTTTTCTTTCAAATAAAGGAATAATCGTTTTCCTAAGTCTTAAATTAATATATTCTCTGCTTTTTATGAGTGTTAAGGAAAACAGATTTACATCAAGTTCAGCTAACACATACTAATTAAACAACATTGCTTTTTCTGCCCAGGACAGATGGTGCTTTTCTGTAGCTTCACTAAGGATCTTTTGAAATATTGTTCCCAGTTATGAAAGAGAAGTAAGCTTTCACTTAGCCTCCTAAAAATTGTCTGTAAGAAAGTTTGGGACTCTCAGGGTCAGTCCAATCCTTAGAAACAGGCAGATAAGAGACTGCCTGAGCACAGCATATTAGCACATTTTTTATAACACTAGGACATGATGATTTACTCTCTTCAGTGCAAGCTGCTAGATAGCAGGTACTGATTTCAAGGTTTTGCTGGGCTTGTCTACCAACTGAAGACGTTACCATGCTAAAACGAAGTTAAACAAAAAGCAGTCTGCAAGACCAGAAAAAATACCCAAAACATTGTAACATCTGAAATTATATTGATCACAGTACCTTCAAATTAATCACAAGTAGACACTATATGATTAAAAGCACACTAGAGTTTGTTACAAAACATCATTTCCTGGTGGAGACAAGCTGTAGAAGACAGACTCGTATAGAATAGCTGTTCCCAATTTCGAGGAAAGAAACATTTTAAAATTGTGGCCTTTTAGTGTATTTACCTTCCAGACATTTCTGAAATCATGACATACTGGGGGGAGAAAAGCAAAACAAATGATGGGGTGAAACAATAAAATCGTTTCGGGTCTGCCTTAGCTGCAATAAACTGAAAGAGAATACAAGCTGCATTCCTCACCTTGAGAGTCTCCTTTAAGCCATCTTCACTTTTTTGTGCAGAATAGAGGGAAGGTTTACTTATGCCCAGACCAAGAGCAAAATGGGGTTCTGAAAACATGGCAGTTTGAGTGCCTTTACATGCTAGTAACTCAAGATACACTTGGTTTTCCTAGCAAAAGACCATCAAGGTAAGTGATAATTATGCCAGCCTCTATTATTTGGCTTTGTAATTTCGGCACCGCAATAGGTCACCCAGAGAGGCTGTGGAGTCTCCATCCATGGAAATATTTAAAACCCAGCTGGACACTGCCCTGGGCAGCCTGCTCCAGCTGACCTTGCTTGAGCAGGGGGCTCGGCTAGATGATCTTGAGAGGTTCCTTGCAACATCAACGATTCTGCAATGGGCAACCTGGTCCTCCGTGCAGGTTTTCCATGATAGCTGGGCAGCCTTTTTTTCAACCTCACTGGGTCCCAGCTGAACAATAGCTTTCTGCTCCAGAAGCTTTTGTTTTCAGCTGAAGAACTTGTTATTAAACTAAACTATTAGATCTGTTAAATGCAACTCCATACTAAACCTGCAGATCAGTATCACCAAACATTGTATTTTGAAACAGTGTAATATAAAAGCTTTTTGATATTATCTCTTTCTCCTCTGCCATTCACTCATTCCACTGCTTTTTGGAAGGGGATAATGTACATGTAAGGAATATAGATTTGCTTATGCACTCATTAAATTTAGAAGCCTTGAGTTTGTTCCCTGATACCTATACTTTCCTGCCGGGGGGGGG